TCACCCTGTATTGCATCGATTAAATTTGAGAAGAAAGATTTGGTCAGTATCGTCAACTATCAGGTTCATTGTATCACATATCGTAAAACAGATGTATGAAAGTGAAAAGAAATTCAAAGTATTCTCCAATTAGTGCTTAACTCTTCCTCTGATTCCTTCATACATGATCTGCCAATATACAAAGATACAGATGCTCCTTATGAAGTTTGTGAAAATGCACTAGCATTTTCAGTAACTGAAAGTGACCTCTCTTCTCTGGAAGAAGTGATGTCTTCACTGACTTACGTGATTTCGAGCATTATTTGTCAGCAGAAAAAAAGAGCTTCCTGTCGATAAGCACTTTGCTCTAATACAGAGATTAGGTTGTGAAGGTATTAAATTATACAACTTATGATGTTATTACTATTATAGTATATGGTCATATACCCATTAATAAAGTGATTCAATCTTGTAATAAGGAAGTTCTTTATAGCCACCAACTAAAAAAAATTTGTTGTGACATTGTCATAAAATGTTTAAGAGAGAAGGGGTGTTTGTTTCATGCTAAGTAATTATGGTCATTCTGCAAATAATTTGATTAAACTTGTATGCTGGAAAGCTGGACTGTTTTTGTAAAAAGGAAAATAAGTTATTAACGAAGACATCTCAAAGAAAATTGAATATTGATCAGTAAATTCATTAGTGTCGTATTGTCGATAAATATATTTAATGCATAGTAAAGAAATATGTTTATCAAAAAATGTTCTCAAAATAATATTTTAAAATAAATTAATTATTTATTATAAACTTATATTTTTATAATTATTATTTTCAAATTATATTTTTTTCAAAATAATAAGAAAGGAATGAAAACTTGGTTTCCTGGCGAATGCGCCGAGGAAAATGTAAAAGAGGGGTGTCAGACGCACCCGATGACTACCTACGGTGACGTCACGAAACAGTGACCAGGCTTTGTAACTGTAGATGGTGAACCAAGCCGGACGGTGTTTTCCTGCTGATGGAAGGTTGTTTGTAGTATGTATAACTTTGTTTTGTGATGCTTTATTTGACTGCAATTTAGCCTTTACGTTAGTTTATTCACATGTAGATAACGCAATTATTGTTGAACTTGTTCCGGTTTCAGCATGTGTGTCACACAGCAAGTCACTGGAGTTAAGCAATTTGACGCACCACGGATTCTTTGGTGGATGACCATCTGAGGACCCCGGATACTAAACGTGACGAGCCCCTGACTGAGTGCGACATAACGAGACTTGACAAAAAAATTCACGGAGGCTTACTTCAGGGGCTCAATGCCAAAGAAGAGTTTCGAGACGAATAGCGGCGACGAAGGTGAAAGAAAATAAATATCGGGTAGTTCCCTTGCCCAATTCAGAATGTATTTTAATACTTTCAAATTATATGATTATTATTTTATGATTATGTAGTCTGTTAATAGTCTTTACGTTGATTACATCATATGTAGATAAAACAATAGAAGCCCAACAGTTCTTAAAGAAGGTATTCTGTTCTCTGTGTATTAATCTCGAGTGGTTTCCGCATGCATGTATTTTAACATTGATGTTTACTTAATATTGATGCTTTATTAGTCTGATATATTGCCTTTATGCTAATTTCATACAGAGATGCAGCAAACACGTTCTCCAACTCTCCCCAGGTAATCATCCAAGGATTCAGTCATCTAGATACGTAGTAATCTCGGGTGTTTCCCGAAACTTTTCTGAATATATATTCTCCTACATTGTAATTCTTTATTCTTATGTGTAGTTATTTTTCTGTTTCATTATATATTGATGAAGCGGTAATGGTTGCTCTGTTTTCCACAAGAAATGCTATGATTCAGTCATTCATGATTTTTTCTGTGTGGTTCGCATACCTCCCTATACTACTTTCCCGCTTCAGAAGCCCCGATACAAAAGATATCTCACTGCAGTGTATTAGACTGCTTTTTTCTTTCATCATATGTAGATAATTCAATGAAGGTTCACCTGTTCTCCGCAAGAAATACAAGAATCAGTAATACGGATAATAATTTCACATGCTTCGTACCCTACGCTGTATCTATTTTTTTAAGTGAAGTATTTTGGTGATTTGAGTATTTTCTATAGTATTTTTTTTTATTGTGGTTGCTGGATATGAGTTCAATGTTTGTTTGTGCTCTACAAGAAATGCTAGAATAATATTCTGTTTATCAACCTCGGGAAGTGACCGTACACTACGTACACCAGTTTAATTTTTATACTAGTGTTTCTCCAAAATTCGGGTTTTGTTATTCTGATATAAATCCTTCCTGTTTCATCATTTGTTGGTGAAGCGATAATTGTTTGCTTGTTCTCCGCACGAAAACAAGGCTTATTTGATATATGTTTCAGTATCGAGTTGCGCCCTTGTTTGCATATATTTTAATGCTCATTGTTCCCTAATGTTGGTGGTTCTGATGTCTAAACTTCATGTCTGATGTACGGACTTCCTGTTGGTTGCAACATAAGTAGATCAAGCAGTTCGCTTTTTCTGTGCAACAAATACAATAATATGTTATCTGTGTATTATTTTTTGGTGCTTATCGTATTGTTCTTTGAATGTATTTACAGTTGGTTTCCTGATATTGATGATTTTTCTGACACAAGTTTTCTCTTGGTTTAATCACATAGGTACTAAAACAATGAAAGTCCGCTTGTTCACCGCAAAAAATACAAGGATTCGGTTACCCATCTATTAATGCTGGGTACAAAGGTGTGCCCGCTGTGCGTAAGAAATACAATTCTGTCATACCTGTATTAAACGCAGGTGGTTTCCCTATACTTGACTGATTGCAACTTGTGCCAGGAAATTCTCTCTGCGCTGTACCGAATTACGAGATCTTCCTAACAATTGGATTTATGTTTGTAGCAACTATTTAACTGTCAAACAAATAAAGATGACAATATTTCCAGTGTCTGTTATGATTGTGGGGAATACGCAATTTACATTTTCATTTTTTACAAGCTGAAATTCGTGCTACCAGCATAATTTCTATTGCTAGCACTCTTACCAACCACTATTTCCACTGCAAAGATACTGTATATCATCGCTAATAAATTCTCAATGACTTGTAGTCTCAGACATCCGTCATGTGATTTTTATCACAAGTAGATAAAGCAATAACAATCTCCCATTCTTCGCATGGAAATCAAGTATCATTCATTCGTGTATTAATCTTGGATGATTCCTGTACCCTGGTTTGGTTGTATTTTCACGCTAATGATTCCCCGATTTAGGTTCGATAGTCTCAACGTCAGTCTGCTAGCTCTCTAGGACTCTAAGAAACAATCCACTTTTGTTCTTTCACGAGAAGTGTGAGGTAATGTATTTTATTTTTCTACTGGTTATTCCCAGCAGGGGGTAACGTTTGTACTGGGCCGATGCTCTGGTGGATGTTGGAAATGGTCACTCGCACTGTGAGTTTCTCGGCATCACGTCGTTAATTCCAATGTAGTTGCAGTGAGTAGACGGTTGCTCCAGCTTGCCCCTCCAGTTGGGTTCTTATCTGGCGTTAGGGGCGAAGGATTGGGGCGTGGCCTGGTGTGAAAATGACATAATGCCCTAGTGGGCATTTGAAATGTCTTCGCTGTTATTTCAGAGTTCCGGCAATACGTCATGAGTACTATAAGTGCAGAGGAGACGGATTCGGCCCTGTCGGTCTCTAGTCCCTACTACTCTTGGTTTCATGACAGATCCTGATAATCGTGGTTTGATTGATTGATTGCTAGTGGTTCCGGGCGCATCAACTGCTAAGGTCATTAGTACAGTAAGTGTGGTGTATTTTTTCTCAAGGGGTGATCTCCGCTGGATGGCAAGATCCAGCGACGACCTACAGTCGGTTAGCGGGGTTTTCCCAACCATATATCTCCCACCAGCGGAGCACCACCTCAGACGGTATGTGGTAGTGTAGTTTACGTTAGTGTGTGTGTAAGAAAGGAGTGAGGTTACTACAAGGAAATGAAAGGAAAGATCGTGCGTGGTCCGTGGCCTGTTTAGTAGGGTACAGCTCCGGCATTCGCCTGCCGTTGATCGGAGAAAGCACGAAAAACTACCGATGAGAGCAGCCGGCCGCTAGAATTCTATTCCAGGCAACAGCTGAATTTGTCGTAGCTGTGTAGCTAATGTCGAAAGTCCTGCCACCGGCGCGAGTGGGTGGCACCGAGGACATCCCGGGCAGAGGGCCTGCAGTGACATCAACTTTTGCCCTCCCCGGTGTTGATACTCATGAGTATCGAGGAGGATTTTCTCCTGGCGTGTTGTGAATAAAGCTTAAACGTGACCTTGGTGTTCCACAACCTGGCGGGTGACCCGATTCAGCCTAATTGAGATGCTTCTAAGAGTTTTGTGCGGCGGCATATCACCTACCAGCCCACGGAGAATTTGTGCAAACTGAAGGGAATATGGATAGAGCTGACGGATAAAGTGCCCACTGAGACGAGTAAAATCCTAATGGTATGAAGCGTCCTTGGTGGCTTGTCAACCTTGAGTGCCGATATATAAATTCGAAATGTCTACAGGTTATTGTTTTTTTGTTTTAATTACTTTTGTAAATGATGACATTCATGAATTAAGTGTCTACTCATTCAGTTTTATTAGTAAAATGCTGTCACGAACACAATTTTTTATCAAATTAATAATCTGAAACTAATAAAGGGAGTTTTGAATTAGTAATAGCGTTAAATTAAAAAGTTAACATGATGTTGCCTTTCTGTGTCCTAAAGCACTCACATTTGGCCACATTTCAAATCACCTACAGAAGTAAAACAAAGAAAATTAAACCCAACTTTGGTAACTCCAGTTATGTATTAGAGAAAATAAACAGGTTTACTTTTACAGAAAAAATCTTTACAGCTAAGATAGGTTTTAAATGATTTCAATACAGTATTTTATATCTTGTACTAATTTTTGCATTATTTTATACATCATAAAATGGTATAAAGTTACAGAAAATTAACCGTATTTTCTCACATAAGTTCGGGTTAGAAACCAGAATAATCTGTATCAGATGTTGGGGCATCCATAATTACACAAATCCTTTCATTCTGAGATATAACTATTGGTTCTTGCATAGGCATGCCTGTGATGGTCAGGTTCTGTCTTTTCAGTTCATCCGAATTTTCTTGAGAACATTCATTCTTTACATCATCTTTTTGTTTTTCATCTTCCTCTATACCTGAAACTTTGTATTTTATTTTATTTTCATCATACATATCGGCCTTAATTGAACCTTCTGGAGATTCTTTACCTGTTTTATCAAGGAATTGCTCTGTTTTCAATGATTGAGATGATTTTCCATTTTCATTTGGGAATGAATATGTATTAACTGTGGACATCGTAGATGCTGGTATGTGTAAAGTTACATAACCTACACCTTCTTCACAGTCTCTGAAAGCATTTTCTGCTGAATATATAGAAGTTCTCTCGCCATTACAAGTCACTTGAAAATCATTTCTGTTATATACACCTGGGGCATTGGGTATGTCAATCAGGACTGTTTCGTCTGGACCAGTTGGGATGAATTCAGTTGCAGTTGGAACACCAGGCAGCAGTGCATAATCAAAAAAAGCGGCAGGTAAAGGTATAGCTGAAAAATTGGGTGAACTGTAACAAGTACAATCATGAGGTACATAATATGTAAGCAAAGCGTCCAGCACTGGCGCAATTTTCTTCTACTACCTGCTGGAGTGTAGTAAAACATGGAGGGCCAACTGGACTGGGGTAGAAGGGTATCAGAACTTTCCAATTTTCCGGATGGTGATGATAAAATAAAAGGAGCGAATCCATGCTGGTACTCATCACAAGATGGACTAAATAAATTGGTTGATGGAAGAGCATCATATGTTCCACTGGATTTTCCAAGGATATATTTTGAATCAGAATTCTGAAAACATAAAAAAGTAACACAAAATGTATTGGTACAGAAAGAAAAAAAACTTCAAACAGAAAATAATTGTGATGGTGGATAAATAATGAAAATAAGATTTTTTTATTTCTCTTATTCCTTTAGGAATAGTATATTAAAGAAATCAATGGCTTGTATTCAATAATGTATGTTAAAGTATTATCTTAATTTGAATATACCAGATGACCCTCCAACTATGGATCACTCTCACAACTTATAAACGGCTCACAGTGTGTGCTCATTAACGGTTCGAAATACATGCACATGAATGGGAATCATGAGACAATATGCCTTAGAGATATTGTTTGTAACATTAATAGTTCTAGAAATTTAATCATCTTTGGTGTTTTAAATGAAACAATATATTTTTTCTCTCTAGCAATGGCTAAAACATAAAAAAAGAGTACAATGTTTTATGTGTTTATGTTTTGATAGTAATTTGAGTACAAATTGTACTGTTTTACATGTGATTTTAATTTAAACTGGCAAGATTTTCTCTAGTAATCCTTGCAATTGTTGCCTTTGAGGAATGTAGGCCTCGGCGCCGAGACTGTTACGACGAGAGGGATGGCAGTGAGAAACAAAGGCGTAACTACAGCAATCATGGTGTTGACACGAAGGACTCGGGAACAAACATCATTATTTTCCATTGGCATACGGCATATTAGTTGATTCTACAAGTTAGTTAAGATGTCCATAGTTGATGGGTCTCTGATATTTCTTAACCAAAGTGATATAATGTCTTAGAGGCTAATATCCGCTAGCCTTTTTTTATGCTTTCCCGCCAAGCTCGACGTGGTCAAACCACTTGTACTTTAAACCGAGTTTACAAATTTGACTTTAATGTCTTAACTATTCATATCTGTTTCAAGGTTTTATTTAATAAGAATTATATTTTTGTTTTCGTTTCTTAATTTTTACCTTCATTCTCCCGCCTTCTTTCTCGCCTCCTCTCAACTTACAAGAATAAAAATTATTTCAAAACAATAAAAGACTTATTCGACTGATGATTCTCTTTTGGTAAATCCTTGAACTGGTCCTGAATTCAAATTAAGTAATGAGGAATCACAGAGGATGCCTGCATCGTAATAAAAAGTGTGCTTCACACTTCAAAAGGAGAAAAAATACTTCATAATAGATGTAGCGTGGGTATGGACGGCCTGGACACCTTAAAACCTAAGGACTAGGGCTGTTTGTAACAAAGTTGTCGGGAGAGTTAATTTTCATTTTCACAACAAAATACCACTTTTAACTCTGCAACACTGCACATATTCAACATTCAACATAACAACTGCAATGATCTTGCAGGCAGTCGCCCTAATCGGCATCTCAGTCCGTTTATAAGGAGAGGAATCGAAGAGTAAAGTCTCGGAAGAATCGAAAAGTCTGCCTGTTGTAACTCACTGAACAATAAGCCAAATGAACAACGCTCATTCAGAGGGCGGATTCGAGCGGAGGCAAAGTCTTTCCCGTGTGGAAGACAAAAGCTTATTCTGACATTGGCAGTAACACAGGGGCGATAGCCACCCTTTGTCAGAGATACAGAAATTCTGTATCTCGGACCCATGGCTAGATAATAGTAGCCTCTACCACGATTTTCACACGTAGTACTGTATTAGATGAAGTATACGTTATACTTATTCAACGGTTTCACAGACCCGATGAATTAGATTGTCATAACGTATATAAAAGACTACGTGGGGTGAGAAACAATGGTGAATTCGTATACTTCATGATTTTTACACCCGTCGTATCGGATACTATTTACAACCCCTTTTTAAGTGATAATCTGTTGCAATAATAAAAAGCCAGAATATAATCACAATATTCAGACTTTCAGTCTAATCACTATATATAAATCCTTGTTTCACACCCATTCTAAACTGTTGCCTTGGACGCTAAGTTCTACCGACTACAGCTTGGCCTTTCAGGAGACGCCGAGTCAACGTTTCGGTCGACATTCTCTGATCTCCCTCAGGGCTCCTTCCTCATCGCAAGAAGTAACTGACCCAATACGTCTTCAACGCTCAAAGTTCGCGTGTAGAATTGGTAAAGTCCTCTCCTATATTACGAGGTATGTTTTTAAACAAAGTACCGTTTTCGAAAAACTAATAAAAATTTGTTTTTCAGAAAAGAATTAATTTTTACATGAAAGAGCATTTCTTAAATTGCTTTTCTACAAAGCTGGCAAAATTTTTCAGATATTTGTCACAACGAAAACCAACTTTTCTATACCCTCTTCATAGAAAGGTGCCCCAGTGAAGACAGCCACTTCTGAACACCATTTTTGAACGCAAAGAATGTTATTCTAGCTTTAATTATTCGTCAACTTGTAGAGAAATATGGTGAAAATGTAATTAGAGATAGATTAGTGAGAGAGTGGTTTAAACCATTCAATCATTGACAAAACAATTTTCATGACTAAGCAGGGAGTTGGCGGTTTGGTTTTGAAAAACGAATGTTTATGAGTTTTCTTCCCACAACGATACTTGCTTTAAAAACACGCACCGTATTTCAGTAGTATAGATGCGTTTTGCGGCTCTCGCGCGCAACCAATCTTTATAGATGAGATGTGTAAAGAAAGAGAAATTCACGGAGACATCACTAAGTGAACTTAAACGTTAATAATGTTGATAATTTGTTGAATAAAACGCATATAAATATGCATGTCAAATGCAACCCGCAACATGCTGGAAACTATCCTGGTACTTGAGTAGTTATATAATTCCAAAACGAAGTTTTTGAGGGTCTTAAAGTCTGTAATTTTGAGTCCACAGGTCACAAACGAACAACCCTCACATTGAAATCTACAGGATGATATCTTGGATATTCTATTAATTTTCCCTGCCTCGGCGTTTCTCGGTACTTTGTTGCATTGCAATTTCAATTTCTAACATTGCAAAGGGTACTTGCCAGATCCTTGATTTTCGCATAGGCAACTTAACGTTGGTTTCGCATGAGAAAAAGCTTTTCAAATATTTGTTTGTGATTATCAAAGAAAGCAAAAAGCAAGCGATGAAGAAATATTTGATAATTTCTTCAAATCTTTGTTAGAAAGTGTTGTGAATTGTTCCAAGAACTTCCGCCTACAATACTGAATAAAGCATTATTGAAAGTATATACTTCATATACTGTAAGTAAATTGAAAATTAATTTTATAAACTTTTTAAACATGTAAACACGTTTGGTTAGCAGCTTTCCCCTTCAATAGGGAAATGGAAAAATATAAAAAGGGTGGGGTTAAACACGCGAGAGTTCTCGCGCAGGTACGCCGGTAATAAACTATTTCGAACGCGGATTAGTTACTAATTGAGGGTTTGCCGACCCACAATTCCTCTGAAAACAAGGAATAATAATTAATATTCAGAACCACTGTCAAAAACGCGTCTTACTTTCTACACTCGTAAGAGACTTTGCGTTCTTGGTTGCACTTGCCTCACGCCTCTGAAAGTCTAGCCAACCGCAAGGCTTGTTGACTATCGATTATTTTTAAAACTTGGCATTAAATACAATAGTTGGATTCGCTACAAAAATCCCTATGTTCACTATCACCCCTCATCGCTACTTTATAATACTACCTTTCATTAAATCTATTTTATGTTCTTTCCTACAGCTTTCCCTATTCTTACAAATCCCTATTCCTTTATAGTCTTAAATGCCTACACCTCTGAAGCACACGATCCCAGTTTTCCTCTTCCATTGCTCTCACTTCGTTCCCTAACCTCTCTATCCTTCTCCTGTCAAATTCCTTATACTTCCCTTTTAAATAACTAGGCATTCAATCACCTGCTTCATCTATTATTAGACGAATTCCTCATCTTTTCATGGTCTTCCTGCAAGAACATTTACTTATTCCTTTCAACCAACTCCTTAATGATAGCAGATCCGTTTTCTTTCAACCTCGTCACTACATCCAACGAATAACCTTCATAATTCCATAATATTTCCCTTTCCTTTTCCCATTTCTATTTATGAATATATATTTTCTCTAATTCCCACCAAATTTGCGTGGGAAGGTCATTTCCAACCTCTGCTAATTCTTTCCTTATACTTACACACCATTTTCATCTCTATTCTTATGTCTCCCATTTTACCACATAACACGATGTGCAACAATAAGACTCCATCTAAAACGCTTTTTAAACATTTCTTCCAGCTTTATCCTTTCACTTCAACCCCAAGTTTCTGCCCACATCTTATTCATTTGACATCCAAAGATTTTCAATGTTTACTTCCTCATTGGTTTTAGTTAACAGTTTTTTACAAAATTGTAGGAGCAATACAGAAACATTACGTTTTATTTCTTGAAAAATCTGAAGCTTGAAAGGATGAAATTAAAGATCGTGAAGTATTATTTGCACGCCCCGACGTCCGAGCTTTAAAGACGAGGCAAGTTTTCGCACCGAACATCGAGGACTGCAGCGTGCTCTGTACCAATATTTTGTGGGGAACATACAGACAATACATGCTCACAAGGCTTATTTTCAAAGTTACGAACTCACGTTTTGATTGAGGGGGAAGAAGGAACTTGACCAGTGAGCAGTATGTCATAGTGGCACCGAAACACTCTTCGTGCAGCTATCGCACTGTCTTCATGTTGGTAAAAGGCTCTCGCGGCGACCACACGCTTCATAACACTTCACTGCTCCATTGCAACTAAATGAGGGTTACTACTCAACAGTTTGACGTCATCTTCACACTTATTGTGCATTCACTGGGCTACCATTATAAACTTCAGATTTTCCCGGTTCTCTGGGCAATCCTGTATTACCATTCTTTCTTTCATTTATTTCTCTCCCACAAGTATAGTGCATTACTTATACTATATTATCTAGGACTTCCATCCCACTGCTAGCAAAGTAGTAACCCCTTCTCCCCCGTCTCTCTTATCTGCATCTAACAATCTTCGGACATATTATGTACAAGGTTGGATAAATGATACCTCTTCAACCTTGTTGGTATAGGCGGCCAAAGTATTTCAAATTTGGCGCCAAGCTTAGAGCTCATTCAGTTTGACTACTCTTTGAAGGTATTTAAGAAGTAAAGATGATACATTTCGAACTTGGCGCATTCGAGATACTTCAATGTTCTCTCATTAGTAGCAAAAAAAATCATTTTATATGAAGCTCTTTGGAAAGGGCCTTTAACTGCTTCCAAAAGCGACCGGAAGATCGCACCACCTCCTGGTCTGACGGCAACGAAAAGTCTGCATATTGTAGGAATTTCCCGGAATCCAATTTTTCCACATAACACGCGATGAGATTGCATTGCTTGAGAATCTGAAGCAGTGAGTAGTTTCATAGAAATCGTGTAGAGAAACTAAGTAACACGAGTATCAGGCGCATTGAAAGTTGGTTCGGTACGATAGCAAGCAATTCCCAGCATGTTAATGCAGTCTCCGTGACCCGCGCTCTGAGACGCGGCAAAAACCGCAGGAACACAATTAACGAACAGAATTCTTCAGAACGTTTATTTTCATCCAAATGTAATCATGACAATTTCTTCAGTACTTAATTATTCATACGGCAAAGGTTAATCTCGCCAATCATGAGTCGTCTTTTTAGAATCTTCTCGTCCGAAGAAAGGTGATGCACAAAACTTCTCGTCACAGTTTCTGCTAATGATCTCCCAAGCATCTAATATGTCGTAGCCTCAATAAACCTTGTTTGTTCCACGTCTTATAAATTTGTTTACACACTCTCTCCTTCCACTCCTTTGGAATTTCTCTCTGCTCAATGATCTTATTAAATAAACTCTCAATGTCTTATCCCTGCCTCTTTAGAATACCATCATCCAAAACTTATTAGAAATCATTTCACAAGCTCCTGCCTTCTTTTCCATTAATCCCTTAATACTCAACCCTTATATCAATAACATTTTTACTATTAATCACCTTTCCTCCTCTCCCTAACTCCCAGTTTTTGTGC